TTGCCTGACCGATCAGACTTTTGGCTACAGACTTTTTAATTATTCTAAAAAGTAAAATGTAAATAAAATACTAAAGATTTATATATAAAAATTCTCTTCAGAGATACAACTTTTGCTGACAATCTGATGTACAAAACGACAACATCCCGAAGGTTAGGAAGTAACTGGGCTCAAAAAAGAGTAAAAGAACATAACACAAGTTTGTCTATGAAAGTACTTCGCATTTATCCAAAACCTCCCTTGGAATTCTTAAACAACAAATTTTAAATTGTTCACCACTCTGGGGAAACTTGGAGCAAAATTTCCACTCACTCGTAACAATATCGTAAATCTGCAGAGAAGAATCTTCTCCAAAGTGGCCACACAAAAAAATGTTTCCTTTGAAACTCACTGCACTTGTATACCCTCTTGGGGTAATTGTATTTGCAATGCTACTCCACATGTCAGTTACTGGGTCATACATTTCACAGAAGCTTGAGTGTGAGTACTTTTCACTCCTGAAGCCACCAAACACAAACATTTTTTCATTGACAGCTACACCACAAGCAGCCACTCGTTTTCCAAGAGTTGGGGCAGCCAGGCACCATGCCTTTTCCTTTGGATCAAATCTTTCAACAATGTTGACAGGTTCAACATCNAGCAAGCCCTGAAAAGTTACAACAGTACAAAACTTAATTTTTTGCTTGAAAGATTCCAGAGGAGACCAAGTGTTTACTAATGGATCATATCGTTCTGCAGGACAGCCATCTCTGTTACCTCCAATAAAAAACAACTTCCCTTGACATACACTAATGGCGTGACTAAAAAAGTTCCTTGTGGATAGCAAACGTGACAACTTGTACCACTTGTCTTCTGAAGGTATGTAACATAGTGTACTGCTTCTTCCACAGGCAACAATAGCATTTTCATGAGTTTTCAGACAGTTTCTTGGTGCCTGAGCAAAATAACATTCTTCTCCTCCACCAAACACCATTTTCATAGCATCTTGGGCACAATTTGAGCAATCAACATTATTCTTTACCAGTGGATCATGTAGAGCAACGTTTAAAAGGTAGACACGAGGCAAATAAATACAACGAATGTGACGAAACAACTCGTAAAAGTTGTGTTTCTGACTTTCATTTCGTTCCATCCACTTCACTACAACTTCAAAAACTTCCTCCTCTCCTTCTACGATGATTTCATCACTTGAGATCCACTCCTCGACTTGTTTGCTGCTCAAGTTCNAGCAAGCCCTGAAAAGTTACAACAGTACAAAACTTGATTTTTTGCTTGAAAGATTCCAGAGGAGACCAAGCGTTTACTAATGGATCATAACGTTCCGCGGGACTGGTACATGTACCTCCGATAAAGAACAATTTCCCTTGACACACACTCATGGACTGACTAAAAAAGTACCTTGCCGACAGCATATGTGATAATTTGTACCACTTGTCTTCTGAAGGTATGTAACATAGTGTACTGTTTGCTCCACAGGCAACAATAGCATTTTCATGAGTTCTCAGGCAGTTTCTTGGTGACTGAGCAAAATAACATTCTTCTCCACCATCACACACCTCTTTCATAGCATCTTGTGCACAATTTGAGCAATCTGTGTTACTCTTTACCAGTGGATCATGTAGAGCAACGTTTGAAAGGTACACACGGGGCAAATAGATACAGCGAATATGACGAAACAACTCGTAAAAGTTTTGTTTCTGACTTTCATTTCGTTCCATCCACTTCACTACAACTTCAAAAACTTCCTCCTCTCCTTCTACGATGATTTCATCACTTGAGATCCACTCCTCGACTTGTTTGCTGCTCAAGTTCAGGAAGTCCTCAGTTTCAGCCACAGCAACAAAGTTGGCCAGAATGAAATCCTTAGCACCTTTCAGAAGTTCTTCACACCGATACTTCGAAGCAAAATAATAAATCGAGACACGGTTACAAAGGGCCAGTGTTTTTAGAATACCTTTACCACAAAAGGCTTTCAAGCTTGGCATAATAAAATAATCGGCTGCTGCCGTCAAATCAAAATTGACACTGTTTTCACTGATGTCAACATGTCCCGTGTACAGATACTCCAACACTTCTTCCATCACAGCTTTGCT